CAAGTCATGAGGAACTTTTGTTAGATCCTGAACTCATAACAGGTTTAAAAAAGCTTTTGTTTCATACCAGTGTTTCCCAACATCCTCTGGTGATGGACTCATTGAAAATTTCCTAGCCTAACACTCCTACCCCAACCACAAAGAATCGCGTCAAACAAAAAAATCCCAACCTAACCACGTGCTCTAATAGTTTAATATAAATCAAAAGAATTATAATCACTAAAATTTAATATTAATCAAAAGATTATAATCAAAATATTTAATGGGAAATGACCAAAGCAGACACAGGTTGGTTCAAAATAATAATAAATTAAAAAAACGTTCAATTACTATTTTGACAGTTCAAAATAGCAACAGTTCTGGTAATATATACTTCAGAGATTCTACGTTAGCTTAACATTTCCATACACATCTGTAATGCCCCTCCTGGTGATCATGGCTATCCTTACTCCCCCTTTAAAGTTCTAATGTATACCATACAACTATGCTGAGGACTTTGAGCACATACTTTCTTACCACCGATGCACATGTAGACTAAATAACAGATAACATCAAATATCCAGGAACTGTAATTTTTGTCATCAATCAATATGTATTGACTCACTATATGCATTTAAATGTGCAGTGTAAATATGTAAATATAATTTTATTTATCAATCCAGTGCAACAAAATACTGGAATAGAAATTTATAACATGCTATAGGGTTTCCAAGAGAGGCTGCTGTAATGCTTAATAACATAAAAATAACTTTTCTCTGTATATTTCCGAAGGTTTTAATAAAACTTTCACAACACACAAGCAGGAGAAAAAATAATTTAAAGACAGCTGCTGGGTTTTTTTTAAGCACACTATTTTGCAGATAGAATACATAAAATGAAATATTTGAAAGATTTCAAACCCTCACCCCATTAAAAAAATACTAATCTATTTTCAGATTTAAAGATGGCTAGCTACACAACAACTTTGAAGCTAAGCACTTTTCTCAAGCATTTTTTTAAAAGCAAAACAATTTTTTTTTTACACAAGGCTTTTTGCAAGATTATTGGCACAATTTTTTTTTATTTTTTTAAACTATATTTTAAAATAAAATTCTTTTAACCCACATATTGGATATCATGAAAATTTAAAAAAAAGAAAAAAAAAGCATCTTACAGGACTGTATTACAGCTGATTAAAAACTTAACTTAACATTGCTCTTGTACATATGGACTTACTACAAACATAATAAAGTTTTTACGTTTTTTGACATTATTTATGATATAAAAGTGCTGAATAAATTCTGTTTATTCATTATTAATGTTGGATGTATAAAATATATTTCTTTTTTTTATACAAACTTAAAACAAATGCCAATATGGCATATGAAAGAGTCAGATTAAATGTTTAGTTTATTTCTCCTAACTATGACCATGGCTAATGCACAACTAATAAGTAAAACAATCCATAAACAACTTGATCAGCCCTTTAAAAAAATACCACAAACACTTTTTAAGCAGATTTAATAGTTAGGAAAAAAAAACTACAAAGCTTCAAATACTTTTCCATTTAAAATATTTGGCAGAAATATAAGCCATATACCTCGACATTAACGAGAAATACTGCATCTGGCCATTGTAAAAGTATTAGCAATTTAAATCAAGACACTCTTAACAAATTTATATCATGCAAGCACCAAAAAGTACAACAGCAGAGACATACAATTATTATGAATTATATTGTGACCACTATATTTTACCTTAACTAATTTAACACATGAATTCAACAACGACCCTCCTTTTCTCTTCCTGTCTCCCCTTCCTGTCTCCACATGGTGATAAAAATTGATTTGTCAAATTTTGCAGTGGAAAAGGATTCACAGTGGTAATGCTTGAGATGGTACAAACATATAGTCAAGGATACCTTTAACTAATGAAATTCCTCTGTTTTCAAGCCGTGGCATGTGTACAATCAAGGCACCAGGATTAAAAAAAAAATCTACTGTTATAATCCCACCAAAAATATATTTGTATTTAGCCTCAAATCTCCAAACAAAGTAAAATAAATAGGCAAATGTTTGAATAGCTCTAGAGATGCTTACAGATCAATGAGGAAATCGTCAGGTATTGGCTGGAGGTGGGTGACAGACATGTGACTTCACTAATAATATCCAATGGGAAGGGGAGTTTGAAAAATTAATAAAAACTTTAAAAAGAATTTCTTAAGTTAAAAAAAAGAAATTAGCATAAAGTGGAAAAGTAAAAAACAGGTAAGAACACCCCCCCCACCCCCATTACATGATTATTATGAATGATGGTGGCTTTATACCATCAGTAGTGCAAAATTCATAGCCTTGTTTAGAGTTAGCAGAAGAATGCCATGGAAATTGTACCTGCTCATAGACGCACCTTGAATAGATTCCGTGGGTGTTGGGGGAGGGGCTATGTTGGCTCAGAAAATGGCGACCCCCCCCCTATTTTCTGCCCATCCCCTACGTACATCACAGTACCAGCTAAAACAAAACGTCCATTATGAATCTAAGTTGCTCGACATTTTGAAGCAAGAACAAAATAATTAGTGACGGTTGTAAGACTTTTTATTTTCATCCTAGTGTAATCACTATTTGCAGTGACTTGAAGGTTTCTCCGCAGAGATATTGAAGTCAAGTCACAGATGAGACTGAAAAGAGAATGCACCATCAAAGACACTCGTAGTTCGAGAAATGTCATGGGCAAAATTTGTGAAGCTGCCTGCCTAATTCACCATGAAATCAGCTCCATGTCATTGACCCCATCAAAGCAAAACATGATGGGGTTTTAATTAGTCCGGCTGTCCTGATACAATACAAGGTGACTCAAAGATTTACTGCGGAGTAAAACTGGATTCACGTTTGGGATGTTCCAGTTATATGGGATATAACTCTTGTGTTCTTTCCATGATATTTGCCTCATAACCACCACCATTACTAACCTTACCTACGCAGTCCTCAGTGTTTTGTAGCAATCTTCAATTTCCCTCTCATCTTAGCTTATTAATCTTATTCATCTATTTATTTCTAATCTTTTACGTTTCCTGTTAATAAATGTCATTCGCAAAATCTTTGATTTCATGGGTCATTTCCGCAACGGAATATGTCTACCATTTTCCGTCAACTACATGTCTATTCAACAAGTTAAGAGTCTTTATCTCTGCGTTTCTTTGCTGTGAAGACTTTTTGCACAATCGTCCAGTTTTGTATTGTTGTTCTTCCAGGTTTTCCTCTACCTATTGTATATTTCTTATTGCTTGAATCAGAACGCAGTCCTCCTTGTATTCCTCTTATTTAAGCTAGAAGTTTCAGAGTATTTTTGCTTGATAGACAAGAATTTCAAGCACATCTATCCTTGCAGTTAAAATCTGCATTTAAGCTGTACACCGAAGTGTTTAATCTAGAGGTTATTTTTTTCAACGGCTCCACATATTTAAATAAGATAATACTGACACATCTTTTTTTTTTTTTAAGAGTGAAAACATCATTAAGATCTAATAACATTAAACATGTAAACTTTATACTATAGCAAGGTCCAGACATTTCATTTGGATAAAGAATGGGTAAGTTTTTATTTTAATATCAAGAATGTTCATATTGCTGTGTTTATTTTGATAAACCTCTTTTTAATCTGCTATCTAGACTATTCAGAAGAACACCCATTAACGCTGATTGAACATTGTGAAAAACTGTAAATGAATGTCAGCACTGACAGTGAGAGACTTGATAAAGCCAGGCCATACACAAGGACATCTGACAAAACAAGACCCTAAGCATCACATTAGAGGCGGAGACCCTTTTACATTTATACTAATCATAATGCCATCACGTTGACTCACAAGAAAAAACATCAAACCAGAATAACCAGTGAAAGTGAGCTAGAGATACAATTCCTTGCATCTTGATGTCTGATGGCTGCACACATTTACCACTTGATGAAAGTTAAAGACTAATGAACTTGAAGTTAAAAATTATATAACTGGATGTATTTTATGTTGGAAACAAAATTGTAATATATCTGGCAAGTCATGGCTCATGTGTTTAAATTTGCAAAATTAACTTTAAAAAAACTTTCCCCGCCATGAAATGTACATTCAAATAGCTTTCCAGTGGTCCATGGGCCCAAAACATTTTACAAGGGGGAAAAACATCTAGTAGTAAGAAAACAAAATATGGTAAGTAATGATGAAATTAATTCATTTGTAAAGCAAATGGGGATTTTGGCATAAATAATTTAATAGTTGCCAGAGGTGACACACATGTTTATGATCTAAGGGTTTTTATATGGACTAATTAATCTAGTCTTTAAAAAAAACACTGCACACGTAACTAAGTAACCTACATTACTACAAGTACAAGAACTAAAGGCAAATATACATTTATTTTGACATATAATGTAATGTGTTGAATTACAAAACAAAGTTAAAATAATGTAACTGCTACATATTCTCAAGATAAAAGTCTTTCTATGATGCTAAAAGCGATAAAATTAAAAAGCTTAATTAATCAACATTGTACAAGGACTAAAGGGAGGGGATGCTTATGTCCCTTTGTGCAACATTTCCTCATGTTTAATTTGTGCAAACTACATTAATGCATCATTTTGTAAAAAAGAAATGTAATAACATCTTTTCACTAATATGTTTTTTCAATTTTTTAGGAATACCTAGCTTGCTTTCAAAGAAAATAAAATTTCAACATTTGAAATAAACACAAATAATTTGTATTAAAACATAATGAAGTCAATAAGATACATACATGAACATTAGAAATTGAATCTATTATGTACACACATATGAACCATTATACACACGAGGGATGTAAGTACTTCCCAGTTATATCTGAATAATACAATAAATATCTCTGTAGAAAATATCAAACAACACAGATTTAGCTAAGAGGCTAATAAATCCTTGAAATATTTTTACGGCTGGGATCGAGAGTTTCCCACACTTTAAATGACTAAGATGACATCATCCAGACTTTGAGCTGTCATCAATCATGATCACTCCCTGATGAGATGGACTTCCTCTCCCATTCTAACATCTGTTGGTCAATACGCTGATAATTATCCTTGCTGAGCTCACCTGTTAAAAGTCTTTGTAAAAACGGAGTTCCACACCTTGAAAGACTGTCTTCATCTGCTGAAGATGAATTGTCGTCCTGACCAGAAAATCCTCTAAGGAATTTTTCCAGCTCCGACATGTTTGGGGAGGATGATAAGGGAGTGCCAGGCGATGCATCCCTGTGTGGAGATGACCAAGTGGACTGCGACTGTACAGATACTGACGGATACAAGATAGTATCTGTGGGACTCCTTTCAAACTCGGGATAAACCTCCCCAGGTTCATTGTCTGTTTGGAGCCCGATGCTCTTGGAGCGTCGTGACCTGTGGTTATCCTTCTTCATGATCATGACAGACACGGGTTGGGTGGAGGAGAGGTCTGAATTTGTGATGCCAGCAGTTCGGGGGGACTGAGGACTGCCCTGGCCGGACAGCGTCGGCCAAGAGGATGATGAGTTTGATCGACTTCTGTTGTTTGAGGATCCTTGGCTGGCAAAGATAACTTTATGCCCAGTCGCCGCATCCTGGTGTGATCTTGGGGCTAGAATGGTACCTGAGGATTTTCTAACGATGGAGTTAGGGGAGGGTGGTGAACTCTGAATGCTGGCAGGAGGGCTCATGGACATACTCGCTGTGTAAAAGTGATCAAAAAGAATGGCATCCATATGGTCGGAGGAGCTCCAAGGACCACTGGAACTCTGGGAAGGTTTGGAGGGGGAAATTTTACCACTTGATTTCATGGGACTCAGCACTGGGACTTTAAAGACTCTCCCGTGTGTGATCTGTGAGGACTGATCTGATGTTTGCAAGCCTCTGACCTTGGTAATGATGACATCAGGATCTTCTAGAGGTGGAGGGCTACACTTGTTTGGGGAAGATTGCTGATATTTTCTGACATTCGCAAAAGGTATCTGCTCAATAAGTTTATCAACATCTGGTGATGTCACGGCAGCTCGTAGAAGACTCATCTTTCCGATTTCTGAATCTGAAATTTTGACTGGTATATTTTTATTTTCTGCTGCTGGGGACCCTTGTTTCAATAAAGTGCCTTGCAGTAAACTATAGGGTTTGAAATCATTAAACAATGTACTATTTGCACTTGTTTTAACACAAGTCTGTGTGCTGGATGAAAGCTCTAAAACAGAGTCCAGCAGAGATGATGGCTGATGGTTGCCCTGACTGGATGGTGGGGTCAGCTTTGCCTGACCAGGCGAGGAGATGAGTGAGTAGAGATTGTCTTCGAAAGATGTGCTCTCGTTGATGTCTGACAGCAAAGCCTCTGCCTGATCAGCGCCCAGTGACCCGCAGTATTCCACAGCCAAGTCCAGCAGGTCATCTGGAAGCTTGAAGTCATCGGGGAGCTCTAAAGTATTGACCCCCGTAGATGAATCAGAGTTATCATCTGAACTCGTGGGATTGTACCACTGAGCATTGGTGCCGACGTTAAGATTGTTCTGATTCTGTGGATTGACTGGTATTGACAATGCTGATAGGGGCAAAGGTAGCTCTTTAGTAGGTTTCCGAAGCTGTGCCCCATCTTTGACATACAAAAAGTTATTGGTGTGTGGGGACTTTGGTAGAGGAAGCTCTGTAGATTTCCTAGCCCCTGGCTTACTGCCTCTGATTCGGAAATTAGCCAAATGTTTTGAGGTTCCACTTCCTCGAGAAATTCTAGACTTCTTGATCTCCCTTTTCTTCTTCTGGGCCTCCTCCAGAATCCACTCTGTGTATGTCATTGGGCCTTGGATTGCTTCCCCTTCCTTATCCAACAGAGTCCTGAGCAGTGATGGACGCCCTGGGGTTTCACTGTCAGAGGACGACTCGTTAGACCCTGAGCTGATGTGCATGGCCGATGCACTGGATGCGAGCGAGCACTGTGACGTGTCTTCTGAACAGAAGCCCAGTTGTTCTTGGAAGGGAATGGACTGCGAGTCTATGGCATCATTCAGTGGCCCCATGGGGTCTGGGCTCCGAGGGATTATACTCAAAAAGGAATCGAGTTCCCTCATGTTGGCTGGTGAGAAAGCAGAGTCACTCAGGGTTATAGTGGATGATGATGAAGTGCTGGAGTCTAGCAGAGAATCTCTCAGTGATCCACCAGTTGGGCTGCTGATGCTTGACTTGTTAAAAGACTGACTCGGCTTGGATGAGGTTAAGCTAGAAGACAGAGTTGAAACTCCAGGGCTCGCTCTTGGACTGAGATCTTCCTCCATCAGATAAGGATCAGGAAAGAAAGAGCAGTTGTCTGTCAGCTCACTTAGAAACGGGTCAGAGTTGCCATTCGTCATGACAGATGAGATGTCATCGCCGACAGTGTTTAAATAGGGCAACTCGTCAGTATTTCTTGCATCACCTGACATGAGCAATGTCGAATCTTTGCCAGGTCCCAGTCTTACGGACATGAACGTGTCACTGGCTTGAGATGTTTTCCTCCTCACATCAATGTTATGAGATGATGTGGATGAGAGAATGGGATTTAAAGCCTTGGGCTCCGCGGTTTTGTTCTGAATGACGTAATGCTTCATCCCCGTCACATGACCCGAAGATTTGGCATTTAGCGTGTCGTCACTAGAAAACAAAGCGTTCCTTAAAATACTGACAGTAGACTTGCAGGCTGCAGACCCTTCTCCCACAGATCTACACAGGACCATTGCTGGAGCTGGGGTGGATGGCTTGGGGGTACTTCCCCCTTTAAGTAGAGAAAACAATTTGCTTGTGGCTGGGGTTGGTGTCTTGGCGATGATGTTCTGATGAGATGTGTTCCCATTGCAGGGTTTTGCCCCAGATTTCATCAGCATGCTGGGGTGTGATGGCGCTGCCAACACTGTGACGGTGCCTGATGGTGCCCCGAAGTTTGGTCTGTTGATTGTGTTGGTTGTTGTCCTGATGTGAATCGTCTTGTACTGAACATTATCTAATTGTTCGCTGGAGGGCTGTGACGGGGGCATCTGTGAAAGGGGCATCTGTGACGGGGGCATATCTGATGGTGAGTGGTCCATCAGAGTTTCCATGAAGCTGTCAATCATAAACAAACCATCAAACTCGTTAGTCGTTACACTTGATTTGCATTCAAAGCCCGTGTCTGCTCTACTGGATGCATTTTCTAAGACACTCCCAGCAGCCTGAGTTGTTGACATGTGCTCTGAAGCTGAGTGGCTTTGTTTTGTACACTTTTCCCCTGAATATGAAAATAATGAGACACTCTGTGACTTTTCTTGCTGAGGTCCTATGACGACGTCAAGGCTGTTATTAAAACCTATCCCAAAGACATTGTTAAGGGGTGTCAAAATATCCATCGGTGATGAGGTGATCCCCTCATCCAGCAAAGTGTCACTGCCAGCTGAGGACGTCCCCTTCAAGGCATCCACAGACACCATCTTGGATTTGAGTGCCCGGTTTTCAGATGCTTTGGGGTGAAGACTCCCGTGTGGCTTGGCACCGCCGACAGGGTTACTGACCCCCATTGCGGAAAGGTTTCTTCGTTTACGAGGTCGAGCGTAAGGGTTATGAGAGATGTCTTTCTGCTTAGTGTTGAGTAGGTCCTTCACCAGAGTGTCACCATCCTCTGCCGGTGCGTAGAAGGATGGCAGACGCCGAGATGTGTCAGCATGAACAACTGCGGGCAGGTCAGTCTCTAGGCTGAAGCCAAGACATTTCATGGCCTCAAAGTCTCTACGCTCCTGGGAGATCTTGCGCTCTGCCTCTTCCTCACTGAGGAATAGAAGAGTATACAAGAATTATGTAATGAATAGTTTAGAAAATGTGTCAACAAAAAAAAAATCTCAAATATAACACAGAAAAATTCAATTAATGTTTTCGTGGCTAAACATTTAAATATAAACCAAATAGTGATAAAGGAAAGTACTCAACATAGAAAATCTTTAACTCTATGATATGCATCCGTTTCACTGCAACCGCAAGCAGAAAATACATTAAAAAAATTCCCCTTTTGAAAATATATTCATATAATATAATTTAATTTAAGTTCATAACATATGTTCTTATGATGTTTTCATATTGTGACTTGCTGAAGGAATTCGCTTAACAATCAATAAATTAATTACATCCAAACAGAACTGTTTCTTAGGAGCTGGCTCAAACCATTTCCTAAAAATTTCAACTGCATGCTGTCTTGGTGCCAAGTTTTACAAACCAGATCCTAGGTTTCTAAAAATACCTATGGTTAGATACAAATGGCATGTTTCAGGACACTCATTAAAATCAGCTTATCCTACCACCCACTAGTAAAACTCAGCAGACAACAGAGAACGGAGATGGGACTGACTCGACAGAGAATGGAGATGGGACTGGCGACAGAGAACGGAGATGGGACTGGCGACAGAGAACGGAGATGGGACTGGCGACAGAGAACGGAGATGGGACTGGCGACAGAGAACGGAGATGGGACTGGCGCCAGAGAACGGAGATGGGACTGGCGACAGAGAACGGAGATGGGACTGGCGACAGAGAACGGAGATGGGACTGGCGACAGAGAACGGAGATGGGACTGGCGACAGAGAACGGAGATGGGACTGGCGACAGAGAACGGAGATGGGACTGGCGACAGAGAACGGAGATGGGACTGGCGACAGAGAACGGAGATGGGACTGGCGACAGAGAACGGAGATGGGACTGGCGACAGAGAACGGAGATGGGACTGGCGACAGAGAACGGAGATGGGACTGGCGACAGAGAACGGAGATGGGACTGGCGACAGAGAACGGAGATGGGACTGGCGACAGAGAACGGAGATGGGACTGGCGACAGAGAACGGAGATGGGACTGGCGACAGAGAACGGAGATGGGACTGGCGACAGAGAACGGAGATGGGACTGGCGACAGAGAACGGAGATGGGACTGGCGACAGAGAACGGAGATGGGACTGGCGACAGAGAACGGAGATGGGACTGGCGACAGAGAACGGAGATGGGACTGGCGACAGAGAACGGAGATGGGACTGGCGACAGAGAACGGAGATGGGACTGGCGACAGAGAACGGAGATGGGACTGGCGACAGAGAACGGAGATGGGACTGGCGACAGAGAACGGAGATGGGACTGGCGACAGAGAACGGAGATGGGACTGGCGACAGAGAACGGAGATGGGACTGGCGACAGAGAACGGAGATGGGACTGGCGACAGAGAACGGAGATGGGACTGGCGNGTAAGTAAGGAAGGGGTGGGGACCTGTTTTAACACCAGTAAGTAAGTAAGGGGTGGGTGGGGACCTGTTTTAACACCAGTAATTAAGTAAGGGCTGGGGACCTGTTTTAACACCAGTAATTAAGTAAGGGGTGGGTGGGGACCTGTTTTAACACCAGTAATTAAGTAAGGGGTGGCTGGGGACCTGTTTTAACACCAGTAATTAAGTAAGGGGTGGCTGGGGACCTGTTTTAACACCAGTAATTAAGTAAGGGCTGGGGACCTGTTTTAACACCAGTAATTGCTTTAAGGAAACATCCGTGAGTTCTGAGCTGATAAATAAGAACTGCTAAAACCCAACACAACAGCTTTCCTAAACACTGGAAATTTAAACTTTAAGGTGGGACAGAGTTGTTTGAATGCATGAGGCTGGACAATTCTTATGTCACTGACGGAGATTTGATTTAAGAACTCATTTAATGTTTCTCTACAAATGAACAATAAACAACATTTGAAGTTGCCAGTGTAGGGTTATTGTAAACTAGATCAGATTCATAGCTTCAGCATATCAGCAATTATTTTAAAGAAAAAGCAAAGGGGTGGAGGAACTATATGCAGTGTAGCCACAGTACTTTGGAGCTCTACAGCAGTGACACTATGTTTGTCAAACAACGCAAGTTAACAAGGTCATTTTAGTTGCTCATTGTTCACATGCAAAGATGACCAAGATTGCGATTTGAGTAGCAGCCATGGGTTGGTGCTGTATTTGGTTTGAAGTGAGGGAGAGTTGCTCAATTTGTCAGCCGCGCTCTAACGTCCTGGTCTATTTGTTCCAATGGCAAGACTAGGTCAAGACAACAGCCACGCTCTAACGTCCTGGTCTATTTGTTCCAATGGCAAGACTAGGTCAAGACAACCAGAAGTAGACCAGGAAGCAGAAGATGGACAGCAGTGTGTCTTGTGTGTGTTTCACTGTGCGTTTCTTTATGCGTTCCACGTCTCAAGAGTTGTCAGAATTTTCATTGTGTCAATGTCATGCCGCCTACAGGACTCCATCTCCGCTTTTGATTTCAGGAGTTTGCCTTCTCTTAGATGAGTTGCCATCAAAGATTAACGAGTCCCATCCACCACAGGGTGTGAATGTTGTTTTCGCTTTTCTGGGATTTTGCTTGAGATGGACTCAGTTTAGACTACTCGGCCAACCCACACATGTTTTAGAAGTACCACAGCTTGGACCAGCGGGAGACTTAAGAGAAGCTAAACATTTCCAAACGGGACTCCAATACGAGGCCACAGTCTCACATTCATGGCAGTAGACAGTGCAGAGGTGGGGATCAGACTTTTCCTTTCACCAACAAACTTGCAAATGTCAATAAAAATACAAGTCAAACTTTAGACTGAAGAATGGCATATTGCTGGATAGTGTTATCTAACTCACTGTTACTTCATGGCCACAGCTTGGCCTGCTTGGACCTAAAGACAGGCATAGAGCTTGGTGTGCCTGGATCTAGAGACAGGCAGGGAGCTTGGTGTGCCTGGACCTAAAGAGAGGCAGAGAACTCGGTGTGCCTGGACCTAAAGACAGGCAGAGAACTTGGTGAGCCTTGACCTAAAGACAGGCAGAGAACTTGTTGTGTCTGGACCTAAAGACAGGCAGAGAACTTGGTGTGTCTGGACCTAAAGACAGGCAGAGAACTTGGTGTGTCTGGATCTAAAGCAGGCACTGTAGGATTGCTGAAAGAGGTGAAATAAAGTGCACAATATAAATAGCATAAGGATGGGGGGGAGAGAGATTATTTTTCAGAATTTCTTTTCTTTTCACTAAAGAGCATCTGAGACTCTGGTAAATTTAAGCCCCTCATGGCTCCCCCCCCCCCCCATCAAAATCAAAGAAACCTTAATTTACTCTATGCCAGGATTGGTATCACACCTTAATAATTTAAAACAGCAGAACTTATATTTGATCATATTTTTATGCTTGCCAGATCAAATCCCACCCCAGGAGGCTACAATGCCATTTTGGATTTTGCATTCCCCTACACGTTTTTTTTTTTTTTTTTTTATTTACAAAAGAAAAACTAAGACAGAGAGCTGAGTTCTTAGTTACAGTAACAAGGGGGGAAGGGGAGAGAAAGAGGGATGGTAAGGTTAACTTCAGGTAAGTAGGTAATGCCAACTGAAACAAGGTGAGACAAGGGTTATTGAACTCTACTCCCAGTGGGTTTTGCATTACACACAAGACTCTGACAAGCAAGATGGTACATGGCTTAGAAAAAAGATCAGTGAGATGTGTGAAGTTGACTGACAAGCACTTCTAGTTATTTTTGGGTAATGCAATTTGTGGAGGGTGTTGAAATAAAAGTGGAACAGGGGCTACCACTCAATCGCAGTCTTGTTTGCATATTATCATCTATACCAGACTAGAATCATTGTCGTTCAAAGCTGATTTCAATGAAGGAAAAAAAAAAGATGACTACACTTGCTTACTTTTGCATGCCTGTTTTGAAACCAACATGGCATACACAAATTTTAATCAAATATTTTCCAATAAGCTGAAGAGAAAAAAGTTGAAGAGAAGAGAAAGAATCTAACAACACTGCAGTGGCTGAAAGATTGATTAAAATTTTTTTTTAAATATTCTATCTCCAGTTTAAGTAAACAAAAAAATTCTATCCCCAGGTCCAGTTAATTACCTGATGACGTAGTTCTTACAGACCACGTACTGTGGGTTCTTGGCGGTGTCATAGACAATTGTGGCATGTGTGGTCAACCACACCCACTTGCCTGACCTTGAAAGAAACCTGTAGTACTCGGACTGAGATGACCCTGAGACAATCACTGGAACAAAAAAGTAAATCATCATCAAACAGTGAGCAAGATTATTGTGTGAGCTAAATGTCCTTTTTTACGCCACAGCTTCACAGGCATAGTAGCTGTTGATCCATTTATCTCCCTTGTTAAGTTTGTTAAATAATATGTATTATAAAATTTACAC